GGGTCCGGCGGCGCGGGGCGCGTTATGGCGGTGGTGAGGCAGAGCTCGTACGATTCCCCCGCGGCCAGCGCCTCCTGGCAGGCCGCCACGTTGGCCACGTAGCGCCGCCGGCTGTCCCGCAGGCGGAACGGCGGCGGCGGGTGGTGGTGGGGCTGCCGCTGATTCCGCCCCTGCTGCTGCTGCTGCTGCTGCTGCTGCTGCTGCTGCTGCAGCTGTTCATGCAGAGGATCCGGCTTTCCCTGCTCGCAGCCGTTGGTGCGGGCGACGGCAGTGGCAGCTACTCCGGTTGCAGCTGCACCCGACGCGCTGCCGCCGGCGCGTCCGTGTGACGCGAGCCGCTCCACCAGCTGCGCGGTTCGCGCGATCCACGCCGCCGCAGCTTCCGCCTCCGACTCTGCTTCCGCCTCCGCGGCTCCTGAGCATGCCCCTGCTTCTGCCTGCTGCTGCTGCTCCTGCTGCTGCTGCTGCTGCTGCTTGCCGCCGCTGTCGTGCAGCGCCAGCAGATACACGTCGCCCCCGCCCCCCGCTCGGTGGTCCACCGCCACGACCCTGTCCGCAAAGAACCACGCCGCGTCCGGCGTCGCCGCTGCGTGCGCCGCGGCGCCGCCGCACTCCGACTTGAGCTCGTACCCTAGGTAGCCCACAAAGCCGCCCCAGAAGTCAAAGGGCAGCTGCTCGGCGGCTTCAGCGAGGCCACCGCCGCCGCCGCCACCGTCGCCGCTGCTGTTGCTGTTAATGGTGCTGCTGCCGCTCTCCGTGCAGCCCGTCAGCCGCAGCAGTGCCAGCTGTGATTCGAGGTAGTCCCATACAGACAGCGGCGCCGCACTACTGGTGCCGTCGGCCGCCGTCACTGTGAGCGTCCCGGGCAACGGCTGGGGCCCCGCCGAGCCGGGCGCGGCAGCAGGTGACGGCGGCAGGCGGTAGGTGATGCGCCGCCACAGGGGGCCGCCGGTGCAGCCCATGAAAGAGAAGCGCGCCCTCTCGGTTGCCGAGCTGTTGCAAGGTTGGAATGATTTGTGTTGTGCACTCCATGAGCGGGTGCTCTGGACGAAAGCTGGGCCTGGCTGCTTCTTGGGGCGGTTTAGGGTGACTGCTCGGCCGACTGTGTCACACAATGCAACCAGCAGGACTGCTGCCGCCATTTTCTGCCCCTGTCCCATGCCAGCCACTCGATCATTCACATCGATCATCGACCCCCTCTACACTCTCCACCCTGCAATCGGCGCACCTGTCCAGCCAGAACGCGTCAGCGCCGCCCCCAGGGCCCGCCAGCGCCTCAAACAGCGCCTGGCTGCCGCCCACCGCCTCCACGACACCGCGAAGCCGCGCCCACTGCAGCCGCAGCCTTGTCGACGCCGTCCCAGGCCCCACCGTCGCAAGCTCCGCCGCTGGAGCCGCCGTTGCCTGTTCCCGGCCACCACCCCCGTCAGCGCCGCCGTCCCCCCAGCAACCGCCATACCGCCGCCCCGCTCCCGCCACTGCAGCAGCATCCGCCTCCTCCGCCTGTGGCCATGGGCGTGGCGCCAGGCAGCGGCCCGGTGGCCCGACGCCGTCATGCACTGCGGGCGGCCTGGGCCGGCCGTAGAACTCCGCGACCAAGTCCCGGAAGTTGGCGAGAAGCTGCACGCCAAATCGGGTGGCGACGCTCTCAGGGTGAAACTGCACCCCATAGTGAGGGAAGCTGCTGTGTGCCAGGGCCATCAAGATGGGGCCGCCCTCACCGCCCACAGCGCCGCCCGCAGCGCCATCCCCACCGTCGCCGTCGCCGCTGGTGGCGCCATGAGCGCTCTCGCCCGGCCGTGCGCCCGAAGCCATGGCCGACGCTTTCGCCGGCGCTGCAGCATCCCCCTTGAGCGCGACTGCGTGGTGGCCGGCGCAGGTCCAGGCCAGTGGCAGCAGTTGCGGCGGCAGCGAGTCTGGGGCAACCACCAGTGAGTGATACCTGGTGGGGGGTCACACAGCACCCAGCGCGGGACGAGGGGGTGCGGTCCAGGAGCGTCAGGGTGTGTCCAGCTGCGGTCGCCGCTGCCGCCACCCTCTGGGCCGCACCGGACGCTGCCACTCCCGGTGCAGCCCAACACGCAAAGGAGGCCGCCCTGGCAAGTGGGCGTGTTTGGCGGTGTCGTTTTGTTGCTTTGCGGCCGCACCTGACGACGTCAAACCCTCCGCCACGCCCCGACGGGCAGCCTGAGAAGAGCGGGTGGCCGCTGTGCTGCAGCGCGCTCAGCCGCCCATGCACCGGCTCTGGCGCGCGGACGACGCGCGCGCCGTGGGCGGCTGCGAGCGCCTGGTGTCCGAGGCACACGCCCAGGACGGGAATGTGCTGCAGCTCGCGCAGCACGTCCATGCACACCCCTGCGGTTGGGGCGCGGATGGCGTGCAGACGGGATCGACGTGCTCGCCCTCATCTTGGCACCCACGCTGCGCCCCTGGTGACAGGCCGTGTGGCGGCCACAAACGAGTGAGGCGCTGCCAGGTGTGGTGTGGTCAATGGTGGCTGCCGCGCCGCACGAGCGTCAGATGGGGCTGTCCGTACATGAAGGCTGCAATGCGGTCGCCGAAGTATGGATGAACGCACACCCAGCAGGTTGCACACCAACATCGGACGGCACCAGCGGCGAGCCAGGCCCCGGCGACAGGATAATGCTGTCCACCACGCCATCGGCGACTAGCTGCTTGATTCCCTCAATAGATATTCCGTCGTTGTGGTACACCAGGGGCTCCTCTGCAGGCGCATAGGCGGTCATTCAGCGATCTATGGCCGGCGCAGGCGCAGGTACTCGCCCACCCCGCCCCTGGTCCCCAGCCAAGCAGCAATAAGCGCACCTTCAAAGACATCCGCACATATTTGGAAGAGGTTGAAAGTATAGGAGTCGTAGTTGTCGATGAGAAGGGTCTTCATCGTGCAAACCTGCTCTTATGGGTGTCGAGAAGCCATTGGATGCAAAGTAACGACTCTTGCAAAAACAACCACGTAATGAAATGCACATATGGAGCCTGCAATAGGGAGAACGCAAACGCCGTTCCGAGTGTGACGGTTATTTGCAAGCTTGCATTGCACCATTCAATTGACAGATTACTCCATAATGCGCACACAGCAAGACATCACCGAGTAACCGCGTTGCCGCCCGTGGTGCGTTCAGATCGTGGGAGTGACGCTTGTATAAGGCGCGCACGCAGCTGTAAGCCATCAATATACGATACGACGATTTTTGCACATACTGCAACTGTGTTTCAAGTCGCTGCTGGATAGCTGACGCTCGGCGGCAACGAATTCAGGTCGCGCAGCACGCTTGTTTGCGCAGCACTGCTGCCGCCGCTGCAGCGCACCACCGTCTTGGCACTGTTCCCGTGCGCGGCTTGGAGGCGTTCCTGTGCCGGCGCATGGCGCCTGTTGAAGCATCACAGGCGGATGATGCAGCGGCGGCACTCGTTGGCAAGGTGAGGCGCACACCCATGTACAACGCCTGCAGTCGCGTTCTCACAGCTCCGTCTGCGGCAGCTCAGTGCGGCGGCCTCACCCCCCCCTGCTCACCCCTCGCACACCTGGCAGGTGGCTGCCCCAGGCGACGTGGTGATGCTGCTGCCTGACAGCGGGCGCGTGGCAATTGGCTCTGGCGGCCTCCGCCCACTGGGCGGCGCGGTGGTGGCGTCAAAGTGCGGCGTGGTGCGGCGCAGCACAGGCGGCATGTTGTGGGTGGAGGGGCGACAGAAGCGCTACATACCTGCAGAGGGGGACACCGTCATTGGCGTGGTCGTCGACCGCCTGAGCGAGGTGCGCTGCGGCCGGCTCGACGCTGCCAGCGCTCAAGCTGCCTCGCTGGCGCCGCTGAGTTGCGTTCACCAGCGCTGCCCGGCGGCCGCTGGTTGCGGGCTCCTTTTATGCTGCTGCGCGCACGCCCCCCGCCGTGCCAGCTGCCGGGTGCGGCGGCTGCGTCAAGTATTCCAGTTCCAGCAGGCTGCAGCAGGCTGCAGCGGCTTTGGTGCATGTGCACCCAGGGTCGGCTGAGGCAGGCGTGGTTGCCGCACAGAGGCTGCAAATACAGCGCCACCACAGCTGTGTCCAGGAGACCCGGGCTCAAAATAAAACCACCCCTGGTGCTGCCATTCCCAACACTGCAGCACTTGACGGTGGACATCGGCGGCCCCTTCAAGGCAGTGCTGCCGATGCTCTCCTTTGAGGGGGCCACCAAGCGCAACCGCCCCGCTGTATACGAAGGGGACGTGGTGTCGGCGCGCGTCGTCACCTCAAACCCGGACATGGACCCGGTGCTGTCCTGCGTGGACGCGCAGGGCAAGGCGTCGGGGCTGGGCCACCTGAAGGGCGGCCTGACGCTCGAGTGCTCCTGCGCGTGGGCGCGCGCTCTGCTGTCGCGGCCGATGCCGGCGGTGGTCGCGGCGCTGGGCAAGGAGGCGGCGTTCGAGATGGCGGCGGGGCTCAACGGCCGCGTGTGGGTGGACGCGCCGAGCGCGGGGCTGGCGGTGCGGGTGGCGGCGGCGCTGGCGCGGGCGGAGGAGGAGCTTGGGCCGGGGGATGACGCGGCGGCGTTTGTGCGGCGCGCCCTTGCTGGGGAGCTGTCGGCAGCGGGCGGGGGCGCGGGCTGACTGCACGATCTAGCTGCACCTGTAAACTGTAAACTGCAGGTGTTAGTTGAGGGTGTTTCTCGTTGTGAGCGGTGTTGCTGCAGCCACCCATGCGACTCTGTCCATTGTGATGAGTCAACGGTTCCACGGCCAGTCAACGCGAGTGCAGCACAAAGCCGTTGTGCACAACAATATCACTGTCAAGGCTCGTGCGGTCGCACGCATCTCCCTCCGCTTTCATCTGCACAAGGGAGCAGGCGGCATCACTCCATCTCAGCTCACACTGTGCAAGCATCGAGCTCATCACAAGCGCGAGACACACCGCACCCGCTGAGCCCCTGCAAGCCGCTGCGCTGACAGTGCAGGGCCAGCTCGGGGGCCGAGTACGGCACTATGATGCGACATAGCTCATATGATGCGAGTTTCCTACGTTCACGCTCGTAATCAAGTTGATCTTGTCCCTGCAGACCGCCATCTCAGCATGCTCATTGGCCAAGATGCAGCGCCGTTCAGCGCAACTTGAGGCGCTCAGCATTTGACTCTGATGCCAGCGCAACATCTGGGCAGCATGGCAGTCCACTTGCCCTTGGGGCGTCAAGAGACGAGGCCTGTGGGCCGGGGCGGGCGCCCTTTGCAGGGGCGCGTTCGTTCATTCAGGCCACTAGCAGTGTTTGAAGACGGCCAGCGGGACAATCGGGCGCGCGAACAGCAGGCGGCGCAGCAGCAGGCGCAGCGGGCTCAGCTGCTGCTTCCCAAATGGCACAAAGCAGCGGGCGCAAAAGCCGCTCCGCTGCTGCGCAAGGGTCTCAGCGCGTCACTTTTCATTAGCTCCGGCCTTGGTGCACTGAACAGCGGCACTGGGTCAGGCAACAACGGGCTGGGCGGCGGCGGCGGTGGAGGGCAAGGGGGTGGCGGGGGCGGCGGCGGATGGTGGGACTCTTCGTCATTCCAAGGCGGCGGCGGCGGCGGGTTACCCCAGGTTCTGGGTGACGTGGCGGCGCTGGCAGAGGCGCAGGCGGAGGCGGACGCGGCGGCGCCTGCGGCAGCGGACGGGTCGCAGCTGGTCCTGACGTTGGACGTTTCGGGTGAGTGGGGGGGCCGCGCAGCTGTGTCTCTCACGAGTCAAAATGCAGGAAGTTCTTGTCCTGTTGTCGTGAGGCCTCTTTTTCTGCACCGGCCAGGCTCGTGCCCCAGCTGCAACCACCAGCACTGTTTTGAACGATGCAGCAGAACCGAGGCGATTGAGCCAGCATTTCGTCACTGCGCCGTCCCACCGTGCGTGCGCACGGCCTCAGGCATGAAATGCGGCGGCTGTGTGGGCGCCGTGGAGCGGCTGCTGTCCGGCCACCCCGCCGTCGCGGCCGCCAGCGTCAACCTGGCCACGGAGACTGCCCTCGTGACCATTCGGCTGCCGGGTGACAGCGGTGGCAGCGGCAGCAGCAGCACGAAAGGCGATTTGGTGCTGACATTTGGCGGTGGCAGCAGCAGCGGTGGTGGCGCGGCTGGGGTGGCGGAGCATGCAGCGCTAGAGGCCATTGGGGGCGAGCTGGCGCAGGTGGGACTGCAGAGCGAGGGGAGCAGGGCCACCCATGCATGCGGCGCAAGCGCGTCCAGCGGATGTTGGTTGGCCTCATTCTTTGCGCGTGTTAGCCAGGCAACGGGATGGTCACATCTGCAACGTCTGCAGCCGTCAACCCCGTCTCAATCAATCCCCCCTTCCTCCTCTGTTTCACTGTCCCTCGATCACCTCCACGGACGAGGTTTCCCACCTCATCAATGCCCCGCCCTCCTCTGTCGCTCACGCGCACGGCGACCTCAAATTCCCCAGGTGCTCAGCGACGGCGGCTTTTCCGCGCGCGTCCGCCCCCGCGAGCGCGCGCGCGCCGCGTCTGCCGCCGCGGACGCCTTTGCCCAGAAGCGCGCCGAGCGCGAGGCGCGGCTGGGCGCGTCGACGCGCAACCTGGCGGTGGCGTGGGCGCTGTCGCTGCTGTGTGGCGTCGGACACCTGGGGCACGTGTGGGCGGGGGCGCCGGCCTGGGTGCATGCGCTGCACCACCCGGCGCTCAGCGCGACGCTCTCGGCCGCGGCACTCCTGGGTGGGTGGCTCCTGCCCCGCCTGCCCGCTGGCAGCGACCTGGGGTCGTATTGCATGCTGACCTGGCACCCCCCAGGCCGTGATGTACCCTGGGTGTGGTGGCTCTCTGTCAGGGCCAGCGGTTGACTTTGCGGCAGCATGCAGCTTTGCGCCTTCACACGGTCTGCCATCAGTGTGTGGTGGCATCGACCCTATTTACCCTGGGTCCCGCAAACATCAACCTCCCCGCCTCCCCCCCCTTCCCCAAAGGCCCCGGCCGTGAGATTCTGACGTCCGGCCTGGAGGCGCTGCAGCGCGGCCGCCCCGACATGAACAGCCTCGTGGGGCTGGGGGCCGCCGCCTCCTTCGGCGTCAGCTGCGCGGCGGCGGCGGTGCCGCGGCTGGGGTGGCCCACGTTTTTCGAGGAGCCCGCCATGCTGCTGGGTGGGTGGCGGGCTCGGGGCGCTGGCGCTGGCAGGGGTCGGGGGCAGAAGAGCGGGTTTCAGGGGATATTCACTGCAGTAGGGCGGACGATCAGTTTGGTCTGCAAGTGTTTTGCATATGTTGAGTTGTTGTGACGTGGACCTCGCCTAGCCGACCAGCTGTCGGCTGAGGCCCCCAGGGTGCCCCACCTCCACCATGGTGTCTGGTGGTGACGAAGCAGTGCCCCACCTCGGTCGGCCTCCCAACGCCACAGGCTTTGTGCTTCTCGGCCGCTCCCTCGAGGAGCGCGCCAAGCTGGCGGCGTCCTCAGACATGGCGGCGCTGCAGGGCTTGGTGCCGACACGCGCACGCCTCCTGCATTGCATCAACACCAGCAGCAGCAGCAGCAGCAGTAGCAGTGGCAGCAGCAGCAGCAGCAGCAGCAGCAGCAGTAGCAGTAGCAGTAGCGTTGTTGGCGGCAGCGAAACAAGGGAAGGGCGGCGGCGGCGTGGCGGTGCAGCGCCGGCTGACAGCGGCAGCGACAGCGAGGCTGCGGCAGCAGCTGCGGCAGCCGCGGCCGCAGCCGCGCTAGCGAGCAGCGGCGGTTGGTCAGAGGTGGCCGCAGAGGCGGTGTCACCGGGTGACCTGCTGGTGGTGCTTCCCGGTGACAGGGTGCCCGTTGACGGGGTGGTCGTGGGCGGCCGCAGCACCGTCGACGAGAGCGCCCTGAGCGGGGAGCCCCTGCCCGTCACCAAGTCACCCGGCAGCCACGTCACTGCGGGCACCCTCAATTGCAACGGCGCGGTGACGGTGCGGGCAGAGGCGAGCGGGCAGCAGACCGTGATCGCGGATATCGTGAGGATGGTGGAGGCCGCGCAGGCGCGGACTGCGCCCATCCAGCGGCTTGCAGACCAGGTGGGCGGGTGGGGGAAGGGGGGGCTGACTGCCGGGGCCAGGGGTGGGCATTGTTTTATTTTTCGTTTCATTCGGTGTCAATGCAATGCCAGGGCTGAGCATTGCCTGTTACCGGAGTTGCAAGGCATTGTTGACCGGCATGGGCGCTGCCCCACGTGCATAATGCAAAAGGCCCCCCAGTTGGTTTCGACGCACACACCCGCTCATGCCGTTGTGCCAGGTGGCGGGGCGCTTTGCGTACGCAGTGATGGGTCTGTCTGCCGCCACCTTTGGCTTCTGGTCCACTGTCGGCACGCGGCTCTTCCCGGGCGCGGTCTCCGCGGCCGCGGCCGCCAACGCCGCCGGCAGCGCGGCGGTCAAGGCCCTGCCAGTCTGCTGCCGCCCCGCAGCCGCAGCAGCAGCAGCCGCCGCCGTGCCTGCGGGCGCGGCCGGGCTGCTGCTGAGCCTGCAGCTGGCGTGCAACGTGCTGGTGGTGGCCTGCCCCTGCGCCCTGGGGCTTGCGACGCCGACGGCGGTGCTGGTGGGCACGGCGGCGGGCGCGCGGCGGGGGCTGCTGGTGCGGGGCGGGGACATCCTGGAAGCCACAGCTCAGGTGGGTTGGGCTGGGGGGGGTGGCACAGGCGGTGCGGCGGAGTGGTCAAAGCTCCCAGCGTTCATGCCACCAGTTCCGTCGCTACGCACGCATGCTTGCGC